CACGGATGACAAGGGCCCGGTCCTTGGTTGGCTCAACGCAATTGAAGCCCATCAGAAGGCCGGTGTCGACTTCCCCGTCAACCTGTTGATGTGCTTTGAAGGAATGGAAGAATATGGCTCAGAAGGCTTGGATGACTTTATTAAGGAAGAGGCCGATAAGTTTTTCGCAGATACAGATGCTGTTTGTATCTCTGATAACTACTGGCTTGGTACTGAAAAGCCATGTCTTACTTATGGTAAGCACTTCAGCAGTCTTCTTCTTTGTCTCGAGGATCACTTTCCTCCCTTCCAACACTCTCGAAAGTATCCCTTTCTCGACATAATAACAAACTGATTTGCTTCAAACAGGTCTTCGCGGTTGCAGTTATTACTCCATTGAAATTTCAGGCCCCGGACAAGATCTCCACAGTGGAGTGTTTGGAGGCACAGCTCAAGAGCCAATGACTGATTTGGTCAGGGTACTTGGCAACCTGGTAGATACAAATGGCAAGATTCAGATACCAGGCTTGGCCGAACTTGTCGCTCCACTCACAGATGAGGAGAAATCGCTTTATGGTGATATTGCATTCACTATGGACAATCTCCATGAATCATTAGGTAGTCAGACTACCATCTACAACGACAAGGAGAACACCCTTATGGCCCGCTGGAGATATCCATCTTTGTCAGTTCACGGTATTGAAGGTGCATTTTCTCAACCAGGTGCCAAGACAGTTATCCCCGCCAAAGTCATCGGAAAGTTCTCAATTCGAACTGTTCCAAACATGGAACCCGAGGACGTAGATCGCCTCGTCTTCAAGTATGTTGATGAGCAATTCAAGAAGCTTGGAAGCAAGAATACTATGCGATGCTACTTGCAGCATGCTGGTAAATGGTGGGTCGCTAGTCCAAAGCACTGGAACTTTTCGAGCGCTGCAAAGGCTGTTGAGAGAGTCTGGGGTGTCAAGCCTGATTTGACTCGTGAGGGAGGAAGGTCAGTTACTTTCTCCACTTGAATCACTCGTGATTAATGCTGATATTCTACTTAGTATTCCCGTCACCTTAACTTTCGAGCAGGCCACTGGTAAGAATGTCCTCCTTTTACCTATGGGTAGTTCTACAGATGCAGCTCATTCGATCAATGAGAAATTGGACAAGAGAAATTACATTGAAGGCATCAAGTTGTTGGGTGCATACTTGCATTATGTGGCCGAGGAACCAATGGTTGAGCAATAAGAAGCGATACCCGAGCGAGCGCCTTTACAAAGGTTATTTTTGTCAATGCGAGGTTTGGCAGTCAATGATATATCTTTTGCGTTTTATGCATCTTCATCTTATCATATTACTGGCATGAGCTGAATGAATTTATTTTACTTGATGCACACTAACTATGCTATCTCTATTGTCATTATCATGCTCATCGTCATTTCTTTTCGACAACCACAAGTCTTAACCCCTGTGTGCCATCCCATGCTCCCTTTTTCGCTTAATCAACTCGTTTGAAGAAATAAACATATGCGAATTTTTTCATCTCTTCGGCATCATTGGCCTTGACCACCTTCTCATCGTTGTAGAGCACCCACGATGTCGTTTTATCTTCAGGGATCTCTTTGCGGATAAATGCGACGTAGTGACTATATATATCATCAGTTATGTCCTCGCACATCAACAATCGAGACAACGTACCCTGCATGTATGCTAGATCCTTTATGGCAAATGATAGATTGTAGCTGGAATGTAGCGGGCAATGCGGTGCTTCCCGGAGGATCCTCTTTAGTGACATCGCTGTTGACAGCGGCTACCTCATCTTCGAACTCGCCCTGGTCGTCTGGATGACTGAAAAGCCATTCTACAGCTCGTTCCATGTCGCCATTAGTTTCTTTTAATGCCTTTCGCGCTTGTGGAGGTCCAAAACCCATTGCGCCTAACATTTCTATTTTCTCTGGGTCGGCTGTAGCAGATGTAGCTTTGCCAGAGCTCAAATCTAGTGGAACGTCGATGTCTGCATCTTCCATGTGTGCGAAGAGCCATTCCATTGCGGCGTTTGCGTCACTGTTTCCAGTGGCGTGCAAGGCTTTCTCACAACGGACCACTGGAAATCCCATGGCCTCGAGCTGTTGTAAAGCTGCTGCATCTGCGGTGAACGAAGGTTGATCTGGCTCATCGTCATCGGGGAGAAGTGTTTCGGAAGGTTGCAAACCTGGTGACTGATAATCATCGAGAAGGAACTTTTCGTCTCCGATAACGACAGGAACGTCGACCTTGGTAGGTACCCAATTGATGAGAACAAATCTTCTAGCATTCACAGCTAGAACTTCTGGGAATGTTTTAAAGAGTGATCTTTTGGAAAATCCATCTTTACTGCCACAGGCCGAGCAAGTAAGTTCTACGATCTCCTCAGACGTGAAATTATCTAAACACTCCTTCAACGTTACAGCTTCGTATTCATCCTTCTTTTCGTCGTCCGTAGTAGCCGTTGCCTGTACTTTTCTTACTGGCACAGGAATGGATATATTATCTTGCTCATCTGTACGATATCGCACCTTTTTGCAGCCTAGACACTGCAGGCGCTGCTCCATGACGAAGCGAAAGGCTCGTATGGGGTCCTCGGATGGAGCTACGTGCTGAGAACGTGTAATTAATTTGAAGACGTGGAGGAGAAACTCGAAAGAATCTTGTTGACGCATGGTTGAAAATTCGGCATGACCTCTTCCTACCAAGTATTTCAGCATTGAAGGTGGCAATCCTTTCTGATCTGCAACGCCGCTCGATTCTGATTGATTGGTAGCAGGATCTGGGAACGAGTATCTGCCCGAAAGCAGACCATCTGCTAACTTGCGCAACTGCGTCTCCAGGTCCTGAGCAGGGTCTTCAACAATAGGTAGATCTGTATCTGGTAACAAATAGCGTTTTTGAAATTGGGGCAGGTCAAATAGACACTGGAGCGCGCTTGCCAAGTAGCAGCTGTTGCCTAAATTCTTCAAACCAGTAAATCCTTTGCCGAACAGTTTCTTCAATTCATGGCCTTGTTCGTCAGTCATAGAGAACTCCCACCGCATATTTTCGTCGACTTGCATCTCCATCAAACTCTTTTCGGTCTTCTCGCGCTCGGCGAGCATAATTCCCCAATGGGCGAGGTGCTTCCCAAGATTTTCATCAATCCGTTCCTCGTCACATGCATAACAGTACACGTCAGCCGTGCCATCTGAAGTGATTGATCCCAATTTGACCGCAACTGCGTGTCCAGTTTGCTGTTTGTGTTCCAGTCCATGGGAATGTCCCTTGAGTCCACCGAATTGCGCTCGCCCGCATCCCAGATTACCGCAATGTAAGCAGAGCCACAAGTTCTCTTTGAGATCGCAAAGAGAGCAGTGGCCTAGATCTTGAGACTGTATTTGGCGTGCGCTTTCTTGTTGTAAGGTGAGAATGTGTTCACACGATGTAAATTCTTGCTCCCAAGCCTTCACTTCTTCCTTTCTTGAGAATGTATTTGCTTTCATTACACCATCCACAACCGCAGGTAATTTACCGGAGGATTTGTCGACATCGTCAACCGCACATTCATGGCAACGAACTTTTGTATGGTACTCGAATCGATCGGCTTCGGTTTCTGCGGCAATGGCTAATCTGGACATCTTTGGAGGGGGCTCATCTCGAACAATATGGCGTTTTGTTCTTCGGATATTGAGAACCAAAGGATGATTTTTGATGGTATGATGGAGTTTGGAATGGTTCCTATCGCCAGTACAGCCGCCATTGAAGCAAAACAGACAAACATCCAAACCAGTAGAGTCATCCTAGATTAGAATTAAGGTCAGTCGTGCTTTGCCCTCGGAAAAGTTTTCAAGATAAAGATAGGCAATTGCCACAAACAAATTATGAAGCTTACTATGGAATCAAAACATTGTGTACAATCTTCGCGATAGACCGCTTGGCTTGGTCCTGGGGGACGCAGCTCTGAGGAGGCATCAGTTTTGACACTAGGTTGGTGGTCAAGAGGTTGTAAGGAACTTACCAGCTGCGTCAATATGCTTACAAGACATTTTTTGTCTAGGGTATCTTGTAATGTTGCCCGCAATTTTAGATTGCTGTGTTATGTAAGTAGTAAGGAATTGATTACCTTGAGAGGTAGGTGTCGATGTTGCTAGAATGTTAAGCAGATTAAGTAGCGGCAGTGTCTAGTAGTAGATGATACTAGGTACGTGGTACTAGGTATTAGACCGGTAGGGAGTCTCGAGGCAGGCTGAGGCTGGTCAGATTTAACCAAATGGGAAAGCGGGAATGTGGTGTTGGATGGTGGGGTGGGGTGGGATATTTCGTGGTTTGGTGGGGTAATAGGCAAGTGAGTGCATACGATAGATCACATGGAAGAGAAGCTTCAGGTATGCTCGTACGGTCAACGCGTAAAGATTGTTCTGGCGAGTCTGGGTAGGTCTGCTCGTCTGGTAGGCGAGGACTACACGGATGGCTGTAGATCAAAGCAAACTGAGGGGTAAAGAGCATCGCGGTATCACGGGAGTGGCCCTTCAGTCGACCATTGGTCCAACAAGTCTAATCCACTACTAGGTACTAGGCTCGCTAGGTAGTCTCTCGATCTCGATGTGCAGAGCGTGTAAAGTAGACGGTCCATACATATCTCTTGCATCTCGCCACCACTTACTTTATTTTACATGGGAGGAGGAGAGAAAGAGAATTTGTCATTCACTTCATTTGACCAGCGTCCGGTTTTCGCACAGAGGCTGGTGACAGTTCATTGGTCGGTCCATTGATTTGAATCGATCTTATCTCCGTCGGCATCCATCGGTCTTTTTCCATCGTTGCGAACAATGGTTGGTGTGCTAATCATCATCATCACCCATTGATTGGTGCATGTCCACCTTATATCCGTCTTTATGACATAAAACCGCTTGAGATAAGCAGCATTAAGCTTGATAACGGTGGCTCGTGTAGTTGGACACACGAGCTAAGCCTCATTGGGGTCTTCTGTGAGACTCCGAGCTCCGCGAATCCCGCTTTCCTCTAGATCCTTGCTCCCACTTATATTTCTTTATTTCTTTGATGACCTCTTGAAAATCCCGTCAATTTATTATCAGATCTACCCCAACTTTATACAAGTCAAAAACACCAACCACCATCACAACCTACCTCCTTCATCTGCAATACAGTAATAATCAAATCATACGACCTACCTAACCTCCACAACATTAAATCTCATCAACTTCAATACTCTACCTGATTCATATATCATCATATCATCAAATCTTTGATTGATACGAACTAAATCTTCCTACCTATCCGATCGCCACTCCATTACACATCACAAAAAATGTTTCGAAGAGCTTTGTCAAATGCACCCCGCGTTGCCGGCAGAGTGTTATCGGCAAACAGCCACTCCGCTATCAGACCTCTACCAGCCCAAATTGCATCGCCATCTTTCGTTACTGGTCGCAGGTCATATCATGAAAAGGTCCTCGATCATTATTCGCGGCCGAGAAATGTTGGCAGTATGTCAAAAACGGATACCGATGTAGGGACTGGTTTGGTCGGCGCACCAGCATGTGGCGATGTCATGAAGCTGCAAATCAGAGTGGATCCAGATACGAATACTATTTCCGATGTGAAGTTCAAGACGTTTGGTTGCGGTTCGGCCATTGCTTCTTCTTCATACTTGACAGAATTGGTTCGAGGAATGACACTTGAGGAGGCAGGTCGAGTGAGAAATACAGAAATTGCAAAGGAGCTCTGTCTTCCACCTGTGAAGCGTAAGTCTATGCACTTTGCATTTACCTAGTTGCACATACTAACACTGCCTCAGTCCATTGCTCTATGCTTGCCGAGGATGCCATCAAATCTGCTATCTCAAATTACTATACCAAGAACCCCAAGTCTCAATCTACGAACCTCGGAGGTACTGGTGCATCCATGCCAAAGATTGACGTGGACGCAGTGATGGAACCCGCACAGTCTCAGACAGCAACGGTTTGAAGAAAAATCGATAGTAGGCGCATTTAGGACATGAAGGTTTTCCTTTCCACGTGTATTATGATTGAAAGGTGTACTTGTTTGATCTGGTAAAGGATGGATCGGTGATCGGATGCCAAGCTGTTGAAGTCGGGAAAGATCAGAGCGGGCAGAGGAGACTGGTCTAATTGACCTTGTCTTGATCCAACACCAAATTTGGGTATTAGCCGGATTGTTTAGGGGAGGTTTAGTTTTTTCCCACTCACACAGCTAGATACAACATCTCAGTTAAAATGAAGCATAAGATACCAGTAGTTACACTTAGCAATCACCATAAACAATGATCGAAACAGTGATTGATTTCATTACTGATATGTACTACATTATATATTAAGACATGATGTGTCTAGCTAATTCCATACAAGATGCAAGACAGGGAAGGGTGTCTACAAGATCCACGAAGAAGGATTACCAGATTTGGGATTCGACATAAATTGAATAGGAAATCAATTTACGACTGCAAACGGCCATAGCAGCCGAAACTTATAGAGTGGACGACCATGGCATTCAAAATTGATTTGGGTGTAAGTAATAATGAAGAGAGAAATGTCAAGATATTCAGAAATGCTTTGATTCGTCAACTTAAATCTCGAAAAAAAAGTTAAGCCGCGAATCGGCAAAGCGGGTGAAGGTGTCTTTATCTTATCATTTGTCAGGAACTAAATAATTTTTTTCTGCAGGGTAGCATCTAGCCATCTGCAGCTTTTTCGAAAAATATATTTGACTGTGTAAATCAACCACAATTGCAAATTTCAATCATGCCGAAACGTACAATAGAAGATACAGAATTAAATTCTGGGGATAACGACATCAAGATCTCCTCCAAGAAAAGTCGAAAAGAAAAGAAGGATAAGAAGGAAAAGAAATCCAAGGATGTCGAAGAGCCAGCCACAGAATCCACCCCAATCGAGGTTGAGGTAGAATCGAAAGAGGCTCGCAGAGAAAGAAAACGACTCAAGAAGGAGAAGAAAGCTCAAGAGGCAGAAAAGGAGACAGAAGAAGAAGAAAAATCAGGAGTTGAAGCAATTGAGCCTGCGTCGGATGCCAATGCTGCTGCAGATGCGAAAGCTGCTAAAAAGGCAGAAAAGGCACGGTTGAAGGCATTGAAGAAGGAAGGAAAAGAAGAGAAGGCTGACAGCACCAAGTCTATTGAAACTACAGCACCTGCAAGCGTTACTCCGCAACAAAATGGAACAACGTACACGGAAGATCCTAATCTGAGCGGCTTGCCACAAAGCGAAATAGACTCCTTCTTGACCACAAACTTCATCACTATCACCGACCCATTATCTACTTCAGCTACTCTAAGACCGCTGACAAATTTCGATTACCTACCGATCACCGATCCTGCGCAACGAGCTCCATTCAAGGACTTCAAGGCTCCAACACCTATTCAAGCCGCCGCATGGCCGTTCTTGCTCGCTGGTCGCGATGTAATTGGTGTCGCCGAGACTGGTTCGGGAAAAACCATGGCATTCGCTGTTCCTTGCGTGCGTTATATGTCATCCTTGCCTAAGAACCAAATAAACAAAGGTCCTAGGGCCGTTGTCGTGTCGCCGACTCGAGAATTGGCGATGCAGAGTTATGAGCAGATTGTAAAACTTGCCAAGGCATCTGGTCTTTTGTGTGTCTGTGTGTATGGTGGTGTTCCCAAAGATGAGCAGATCAGAGCATTGAAAACTGCGGACATCGTTGTCGCTACCCCTGGTCGTCTCAACGATCTCATCAACCAAGGATGTGCAGATTTGAGCAAGGCCCGATATGTCGTTCTTGACGAAGCTGATCGTATGCTGGATAAAGGGTTCGAGGAAGAGATCAGAAAGATTATCAACACTACTCCCTCTCTTGAAAAGAGACAGACACTCATGTTCACAGCGACTTGGCCCGAGTCTGTTCGCGAATTAGCTGCCACATTCATGACCAGCCCGGTGAAGATTGCAATTGGTGACAATCCCACAGGAGATTTGCGAGCCAACTCGCGCATCGTTCAGAAGGTTGAGGTCGTGGAACCAAGGGACAAGGAATACAGACTTATGCAACTATTGAAGCAATATCAAAGTGGCAGTCAAAAGGATGACCGAATCCTGGTCTTTTGTTTGTACAAAAAGGAAGCTACCAGAGTAGAGAGTTTCATTAGACAGAAGGGCTTCCGAGTTGCTGGTATCCATGGTGATTTGAGTCAGGAACAAAGAACGAGAAGTCTGGAGGCTTTCAAGAGTGGTAACACCCCAATTCTGGTTGCTACAGATGTCGCAGCTCGAGGTCTGGATATTCCTGCTGTCAAGTTAGTTATCAACTGCACGTTCCCTCTTACAGTGGAAGACTATGTGCACCGCATTGGTCGAACAGGTAGAGCTGGCAAAGATGGACTGGCAATTACATTGTTCACTGAGCATGACAAGGCTCAGTCTGGCGCGTAAGTAAAACATCCAAATTTTGATCTATCATCTACTAATAGTCGATTTAGTTTGATCAACGTCCTCAAGGCAGCTAATCAACCAGTCCCCGACGAATTGTTGAAGTTTGGTACTACGGTCAAGAAGAAGGCTCACGATGCTTATGGTGCATTTTTCAAGAATGTGGACACTACCAAAAAAGCAACAAAGATAACATTTGATTAAGATGCAATAAGTTAGATTTATAGGATAATTTGCTGGGAGAATTTAGATTCAGCCTTTAATTGCATGGTAACATTCGAGGAGATATCCTTTCTCGCTCGTGGCTCTATCAAGGCGTAATGGTTAGTAGTTTATAGATCGGCGTTACAGCTGAGAACTTACAGGAGAATCACAAAAATTATTGCCACCAAACCACTCTTGATAATGTCCACTAAACCACCCGTGAATGACGTTCTCATTTGAGCAAGTGCGGCATATGTAACAACCCCAAGTGAGATTGTGCTCGGTCGTGGTAACAAGTCCTTAACTGTGAATTTGGCGCCATAGCGCCTGCAGTAGGTCAGAATGAAACGACCGCACCATATGATCCGTAAGAGCATGTTAGCCATATTTGCCAGTACTAGACCTTCGGCCCCGAGATCCAAAATTCCTAAAAACAGATAAGCGGCACCACCAAAGCCGGCAGAGAAAGCAGACATCCACAAAGATTGCCTATTAACTTCGGCTTCGGTTGCAACAACGGCTACAAAAGCCTCACACACTCCATTTAGTGCAAGTAATGGTATGTAGTAGCAATACACTGCAAGAACATTGCCAGCTCCAGACGACTGCCATCGTGGGCCAGCAATGAAGTTCAATAGAAGCGGGGCGATAGTTGGACCTACGGCAACTATGGCAACTGACAGTATAAGATATATACGTAGAAGCCTGTGCAAGTCTGTGCTGGCTTTCTCGGCAGCTCCCTTGGTTGGCTTTCCGTCAACGACAGAAAGGAGCTTCCCAAAATAGTTTCTGGACATTTCCTCGATTGGCTGTAAGACTAGTCGAGCAATCAGGCCACCATAGTTGCTCGCTAGTGCATAGATACCTTGGGCTGTTTGGGTGGCCATAGATGCTATAAGAAACGTGTCGCCTTGTGTCAAGACATGCTTTACCATTGATTGTATCATCAAACTGCCTCCCAAAGACAAGAGTGGCTTGGAGAGGTAAGAGTAGATATACTCCTTCTTCTTACTGCCATCAATTAGCTTCGTAAATTGTACCACGTCAAGGTGTTTGAAATACCTGTAAATAGGCTTGATCATTAATGAGAATCCGCCCCGTGATGCAATGTTCCAGACGCCCAATAAGTACACCAGTAGCATCGCAATAGCATATGCCCCCTGACCAATGGCAAATGGCAGTACACCCAACTCTATCTGATGATGCGCAGCCCAAACCGCAACAGCGCAAGTAACAATGCATCTCAAAACTGTTGCTATCGATTCCGCAGCAGCTCGAACTTTGAAGGCCGATTTTTGTTGCGCGATGACGAAACATGGCTCAGCCAGCAATTCTAGAATTGCAGCCACACCATAAAATTTCAAAGATTGCTGAAAATAAGGCGTTTCAACCACGCCAGTTTGCCCGGCATTGGCATAGATCCAACCAAACAGCACCGTAGATGCCAGTCCGAGAGCAATAGAGATATAAGACAGATTCACGATTGCTTGGCTTTTACCAGCAGTCGTTCGGCTATCCAAATATCTGTCCTTTGTGGACAGATTACTGTCCTGTTTGGCTTTAGAGTCATCATCGCTCGTGTCAGTCTGGCGCTGTATGGCGACACGCAGACTTTCTCTGGAGAAGAAAAGTACAGTGATGGAGTAAACTTCAAGTTGTGTTGATACAGCAAGGAGTTCGGGTGAGAGATACCGGAGAAGTATCTGGTTCACGACGAATGTCAGCGCTCGAGACCCGGCTTGCAATGCAATCAAGAGAGATGCTCCACCAGCTGATGTTGAAAAAAGAGATTTGCCTGCTGGCTTCTCTTTATTGGGTTCCACAGACGTCATCGATGACCATATGTATCGCTCTGGATTTTTGGTTGCAATCTGTTTTGTAATTTCAAGATGTCTATGCACTTTGATTGCTGGTCACATGATCTAGTTCATTATACCTGCGCTCCGGACCGGGAAGGGAAATTATGTGCGAACAGCAACATGTACTATCCTATCCCAGTGCTCAATGATGATTTGATCTTTATCCTTTTAATGTTCATACTCTGTCGATAAACCTATCTAGATGGGTGATTGTATTGATCTAGCATGGTGATTGACGAGGTATAGAAGGTACGGAGGGTTGAGCAACAACTGAACATATGCTACAGTGAATGAATTTGGGGTTGAAAGAAGATACTCCTAGATCCTATCTGAAACATTCGAAATACTATGAAGTGATGAGTCTAATAATATCGTTTAAATATCACGCGAGACTTGTATGTTAGTAAAATCCATTATATGTTTGAAAGGCACACACATGCCCCCCTACCTCCCATGTACAAAGGAAAAAGAGTTATATACCCTGTAGTGGTAGAATCCGTAGTTAACGAATAAATCATTTCATCAATTGTATCAAAAATTTCAATAATTAATATTATATTAAAAAAATCAGTTATACAGTATTAATATAATTGAATTTTATATATATATATATATAATTAGAAAATTTTACTTCAAAAGGACTTAAAAAAAAATTCGAAAATTTTCAATCTTTTGAAGTTTTTTGATTTTCGAAAGTTTTAGTTTAAGGTTATTTGAAAATGAAAAAGCTTATTTATATTGAATTCGATTATTAATTGAACTTAATATAAAACTATATATATTAAAGTTAAATAATATTCCTATTTAAACAATTTATTCTATACTATATAATACAATAATAAAGCTTTTGATTAAAAAATAAATCAAAAGTAAAATAAGTAATCTATAAACAGATTTCCTTTTAAACTTTCAACTAATACCTTTTTCTACCTTTTAG